TATATATATAGCTAAATGCTCTGCTGGTTTTCTACCCGGAAGTATTTGTAAACAACGAGGCGATTGCCTCTATAGTCCGGCCGGACGGATGAGTCATGGCCTTGTAAAAGATTATGTTTGTTTCTTAAAGTTGGCGAGAATGTGTCGCCACAAACGTGACAAACATCCACTAACTTTGACGGCGTTTTCTGCGAGCGTGGCTGAGCCATTTTGTACCGCTACACGTGTTTCTAGTGGGACTATGTTTACAAGCACAAGAGTTCAGCGAGCCACCGAAGGACCGCCCTGCAGATTTACTATTGGTTCTGCAATGTAGGGAGTTTTTTTAACTCTGAAATTGTATCCGCCCATCTAAACACAAAATCAGGGAGAAAGTCATCAGTCTTTAGTTAAGCAAAGCGTCTAAAGACTGACTTGTGAGTCTAGGGTTTGCCTACAGACTCTACATTCACTGAATGTAGAGTCTGTATATAGAGACTAGTGTCCGACAAACTGTCTAAGACCCAAAAATACTCAGTGTAATATCACATTAAAGAAAGAGAGAGCAAATTCTCACAGTTGAGAAGTTGGCCCCAGTGAATTTTTCAGTTTTACTAAAAAACATTTTATAACTTTTTTTTTCCATTTTGAATAAATGAGGGTAAAAGTACATTTAAGGAAGCTAAGTAACTGTTGTAGTACATGATTCTGTTTTTGGTTCAAAACAATCAGCACATTTTTGAATAAAATAAGCAAAAAAACCTCAGAAATGTTGTGCAACAAATTCTATTTTACCACTAATGACTCTAAATTCGTCATTTTACTGACTGTCTTTGACTTTGTGAGTTTATGTAAACAAATATTGACTGGACTTGGCTAAAATCAAATACAGCAAGTTGAAAAAGCTAACATCAGGAATACTGTCCATTGGCCGAGGTCCCTAATAAAATAATTTATAGATCGAACATGCACATGTATTTCACCAGAGGGGCAAGTAGAAGCTTGATTAGTCTACCCCTGGCAAAAGTATGAGAAGAACTGTTCTTCACAGGGCCATCCGTGCACAGAACTGTCTTCCAAGAGTCATTACAGAAACTCAAGGTATAGCCTTCTTCAAAAAGAAGCTGAGATGTCACTTATTAGAGAGTCAATGATGACAATGTTGAGCCTTGTATTATTTTAAATTATTTGTATGCTTTCTTATTGTGTAAATATGTTTTGCGTGATCTGTTAAATTGTATTTGTATTTTTATGATACTGTAAAGTTTTCGGACCCCAGGAAGACTAGCCGGCATCTTGGCGTCAGCTAATGGGGATCCTTGTTAATAAACAATAAACTAAAATAAAAGCACAACTTCTTAAATTGACCCTATAATAAACCACACAGTGGATTAGATAAGTGGTGTTAGACAACACACAGGCAGCCAGTGTGCTTCCAACTAAACACAAACAAACAACAAACAACAAACAGGACCGCTGGGTTGGATTTGCTTGTAAAACACTGTCTATATTCTGAGGAGGAGCGATCTGAGACAAGATATGATAGCTGGTGTTTATCTAAAGAATGTGATGTGCTGGTTACACCAAACAGAGATAAGTTGTCTGTGTTTGTACGTCTCTGTCAGCACATTATTGCAGGGTGTTGTGCTGATGACAGGGGCTTTACAATCCAATACACCACAGTCAGCTCTCTGCGTTACGTAAGGGATCTTTAGACTTTCCTCCCTAACCCTACACCTGTGAACCGCCCCACAGACAAATAACAGAGGAAACAAAGCTCGCTCACATACACACATCCATCCACAAACACAAGCACGTGTCACTTCAAACCCTTCCTCACTTTACTTAGACTACTGGCACAACCTACTACATAAACATCCTCAGGACATTGCTTTTCACAATGTACATTTGTTTACATTTATTTACACAACTTGTGTTTAAAATGTTCTAACACTGCACTTATCCTGTCATGAACTTTTGATGCCTCTTGCAACTAATGGACAAGCTTAGAACATGGCCGTTATGTCCATAATTCGGCTGCTGTGCTGCAGTCGGCTCCTGGGGATCGACGGCATAGGAGCCTGGTGGTTTGCTGGTGGATTTACAAAGTGGAGGATGAAGTTATTGGTGAGAAAAACTACAAACAAAGGACTTTTTGGTTCACTGCGAGGGGTTGGCACACAAATCACTGTCAGGACTGTGCCTCTACTACTCAAAAAGTGCAGCTGCAAACTACCGACAAGCTACGTCTTTGAAGTGTTGTTTTATTTCTCTATGGTCTCGTGCAATCACTGCCCCCAAGTCTTATAAT